CACAGTAAGAACCTTTTGGATACCTTTCAGACTTCCGATGCTATTGGAAATGCCGCCGATAAGTTTGTTTGGGGAAAAATCGATATTATCTGTTAAGATGGTTAAAGCTTTCAATGCTTTGAAAAGGAAATATATTGAAAGCCAAGAAAAGTGACCACTCCAGTTGTTGCAATGGCCCTTCATTAAATCCAACTTTATTTATTTATTTAATTATTATAAAATATAAAAATTAATATCCAAGGGTCTTTGATCTTTCAGTAAGCTTGACGTTAACCATAATGGTGATGTCTGATTGGTTTGAGCTTAAGTTCAAAAGGTTAAAAGTGTCTGGAGATCCCATGTTCAAATCCAAGTAGAAAACAAAAATCCTCTTGTAGCCACGGATGTTCAAATGCTGTGACTCTCGGTTATCTGCAAAGCTTTGATTTTAATTAAAACAAATAAAAGAACATGAGAAAAGCCTAATCACATGTGATTTTACACTAGAATAATCACATGTGATTCACACAACTCTGACTACGACATAAGGTCGTAGGCCAAGTCCTCTGCTCACCCCTTTGCGTTGACCGTGCTCCATGATCACATGTGAGTTCAGTGCAAAATCACCGGCGCTTTAACCGTTTTCACGTTTTCTTATTTTGATCACGTTCTCGTTTGTTTCTCCTTTACTTCTCTCTTTATATCGTATATCAGTGACACCGATAATTTATAAACGATATTATGTACGTATATATCGTACTACTTTTTATCTGTTTTTTTCTTTAGGAAAATTATAAATTTCAAAATTGGGTGTAATTTAATGACATTTATTTGGGTTGAAGTCCTTTGTTTATCCCATAAATGGTATATTAAATAAAGGATTGGTATTCTTTTTCTTCATTTTACACACTAAAACTATAAAAGTGGTGTCTGATTGGTCTGAGTTTGAGCTTCAAACGTCAAAAGTGTCTGGAGGTCTCAGGTTTAAATTTAAGGAGAAATAAAAATCTTTTTATGACTACGAAGGTTAAAATACGATGACTTCGAACTACCCACAAAACAGATAATCAATAATTAATGTATAGTGAAATTAGGTGCTATTCATTTGACAATTAATGTGAATGCAATCATCCCCTTATTCAGCCATACCATCTTAATCCCCCAATCTTCAACTTATTGCTTTTTTTATTTAGAGACCGTTTGTCAGTTGCTGAATGATTTGATGTAAAATAAGTAAGTGGTCAGAATGATTAAGAGGCTCTTATGATATAGTGCAAAATAAAATATAATCGTTTGGTAATTGTTTACAATGAAATTAGGACGTTGAATGCAAGATACAAAATCATTCAGAGGGTTTTAGAACCATTAAGAGATCTTTTTTTTTTCTTGCCAAACAAGATTCATCTCTTAGCGATTCAGAATCTGCTCTTAATGGAACTATTAACAGGTAAACAAACAATCCCTCAAGTATTCCACCTTGGACCAAGTTTCAGATATTTATAAACGAAAAAGCAGAACGTTTTCATCTGTATACTGTTGATCGAGTTTTTGATCGTTCGATTCTTTTAAAAAATCAGTATTTTAAGGACATAATGGTTGTTATACATGTCATCAAGGTCCACAAATGTTTAACAACTTGGAATAAGGTAGGGACATGATGTTTGTTGCATATGTGGCCTTCTCATCCAAATTGTTTTGGAGGATAATGATTGAATAATCCTACATTGCAACATCATCACTTTAAACCATCTTTTCGTATCGGTGTTATCTGTCGTTATTCGTATACGATGCTTTATGTATCTGAATGAGTGATAGAAATAAACGTTCGGTAGGACCATTTGTTCAAGATAAACAAGATCACAGTTGCATGTTTTTCAGTAATACGATCACGTTCATGTGGATTGTTGAATACAGGGGTGTTCTTAAAAAACCGTTGAAGCGCTGGAACTTGTCGAACTCGAACCAAGTCAAACTGGACCGTATTTGATGGTTTGAGTGGTCTGGTGGTCCGGTCTAAAAAATAGTAAAATAGTAACATGTTTGTTAGCAGCTTAATAAGCTTAAATGAAACTCACAACTTATTTAATCAATTACACATGACTGTTGGGTATTAGCTTAATGATATAAGAAGTGGCTTATTCAATAATCTTATGAGGAGGGGTTTTATGCTGAAAAATATTTATTTTCCAAACATGTTTTTCCCAATTAAAAAATATGTTTATTTCATCTATGAAAAATCTATCTCAAACAAAAACCTTGATAATTTATACAGACAAATTAATCTACATAGACAATTTTATTTATACAAGACTTAATAAAAAAAACCAGTTAAATAAAGATTATTTTTCAGGTAAACGAAACACAAAAAGATTTTATAAAAGAATAAGAAAATATTGATCCAATTTTATTTTATGGTTTTTATTAGAAAGAATCTTAGAGTGGGAGGTGACTTAGAGCTCTTGGAAACTACAAATTTGGAATTTTCTTTTGCCTTTCAAGTTTCTAATTACTTTTTTTTCCCTTCAAGATTGTGAAATTTAAATATATATATATATATATATATATATATATATATATATATATATATAGGGTTGGGTTCATGTGAGACCAGCATGTTTTCGTGAAACCCGTGAGACCACATTTTTACATGTAACCTTCACAGCAAAAACATTGTGAAGGTTTAAAAAAAATCGAACCTTCACAGCAAAAACACTGTGAAGGTTTTAAAAAGTCACCTTCACAGCATTTTGCTGTGAAGTTTCAAGTGTAAAATGTTGGTCTCACGGGTCTCACGAAAACAAGCTCGTCTCACATGATCCCAAGTCTATATATATATATATATAGGGTTGGGTTCACGTGAGACCAAGGATTTTTTGTGAGACCCGTGAGACCAATTTATATTCATTGATCAACTTTATAAGCTAACGATCTAATAGTCTAAAATTACACGGTGACAATTTTGTAATTATTGAGAAATCTCGTGGCAATTTTGTGATTATGAATATTGAGATTGTAGATCTAATCCAAGGGTTGAGAATTGGTCTTATGGGTCTCACGAAAAAGCTTTGGTCTCATATGATCCCAAGTCTATATATAGAAACTTAGAATCATGTGAGACCAGCATGTTTTCGTGAGACAACTTTTTTACACTTGGAACTTCAAAGCAAAACATTGTGAATGTTACCTTCACAATGTTTTTGCTGTGAAGGTTCAGTTTTTCTTTACCTTTACAACAAAATATGTAATAATTACACTTTTTAATTTAAAAAATAATAATTTTACCCTTAATTATAAAGACAAATTCTTTTCATCACATAGTTAAGGATAAAAAAGGATGTAGACATTTTTTTTAAATAAACTGAAATAGTAATATAAATACTTATTTTCGGAAGAAATAACGTATATATGAATTTAGGACTTAGAAGCAATATTTAGTGTCTATCTTGATTTGTTATTTTATAATATTATTAAAAATAAAATTTGTTAGGTAAAATGACTAAAATGGACATCCTTTGAGATTATCTTTTAAAAGTAGAAGCATCTTTAATTTGTTAAGGTTCCAAAAAGGATAATTTGATTTGTAGAAGCAACTTTCTTTCATTAAATGGAAACTTTAGGCTTAGGACAAAAAAATGCTCTTATGTTTTTTTATATAAATAAAGTTTAAATTATTTAATTGTTTTAGCAAAAATTTAAAATAATTTACATAAATAATAATAATAATAAAACAAACTAAACCCAAATTATTTATGAGTGAATATATATATTTATTTATCTTTTAACTTAAAAATGAATATAAATAAATTATTTATTCCAAGCTGAAGATCTTCAAGAAAAAACTGGCTCTACCGTATAAAGTCGATGACATAACACGTATGTATATATTTCCATTCTTTTGGATCCTACCCTTAGCAGGATATATGATTTACAGTTTCAAGTATTTGAGCAGAAAGTTGATTACAGGGCCTCACGGAACCCGCCTCTAGTATGTAAGGAGACGTTTCAAAAGCTAACTCAATCGGAGGGGTTCAAGCCCGTTTCCTGTAGGATTCAAACTTGAACTTGTTTTATATTTGAGTAAAGTCGTTTAACCTTTTTTGCCTGAGGAGTCTGAGTTACACGCTTGAATGTATTTACAGTTTCAAGTATTGATTTATTACAAAGAAAATAAATTACTACTCTCTCCGTCTCAAATAAATGTCCATAATGAAAACGACACTCAATTTTAGAAACGTGTAATAAATACACTTTTTTAAATAATTAAATGACACTTTTACCGTTGATAATAAAGAGAGAAACTTTCTCCATCTCATAATCAATGGTAAAATGAGAAAATAAAACTAACTTTTAAAAGTAAACATTTATTTTGAAACAAACTAAAATAAAAGTATGGATATTTAATCTGGGACGGAGGGAGTAATAATAACTTATTAAAAAAAATGTTGTTTTTTTATCAACCTGGATATCCAACCCGCTATTCGAGCCAACTAATTCTAGGACGACCACCTGCTTTACAGGTAGTCCGGAATCACTGCATTTGAACCTCCATAACCATAACGTGATCTTTTGTTTCTCCTTGGATTTGAACCTAGGACCTCCAGACACTTTTAACCTTTAGAGCCCAAACTCAAACTAATCAGACACCACCCTAAACAACAAATATTTTCAGTCAAAGGAAATATAATATTTTATGAGAGATATAAAAATAAAAAATGTTAAAATTTCTTGGAGGATGCCAAAAATTCTATGTTGGTTATGGTGGAGCCAATTCTATCAACTTAAACCAAAAGAGAAGAATGGGGACCCACTTGAATCTTTAAAAGGAAGTTGCTGAGCTTCTTGAATTCAACACACCTCCTCTACCTCCTCCACAACTCCATTAGCCCCCTCTCTAGGAATTATACAACACCACCCGTTTATACTTCACCATTGAAAAATTAAGCATTTCTATTTTTTAAAGAAAAGAAGGGGGGGAAAGTGTGACAGTAAAAACAAGAACTTAAAAGAAGGGTATTCAAAGAATGTGCAGAATGCCCAGAATCAAGATTCTACTGTTTCTGGTCTTGTTTTCTTGTTTCTGTACCTCCATTAAAGCATCAGTATCTTATGATGATAAATCCATCATCATCAATGGCAGAAGAAGAATTCTTATGTCTGGTTCTATTCATTACCCAAGAAGCACCCCTCAGGTATTTCAATTTTTTGTACTCTGTTATTAAAGATTGTGTTTTTTGCATTGTTTTGGGTGTTTTTGTTCTTGATTCCTCAATGCTCCTAAAACCTTCATGTTCTTTCTGGGTTTTGTTCACTGTGTGTCTGTGTGTGAAGAGATTGTGTTTTTTCATGTGGGTTTCTCTGTTTTACTGATTCTTGAAAGTTGATTTTTCTGGGTTTTGGTCTCCATGAATCTTTGTCTGTAAAGATTCTGTTAATTTCAATTGTTTTGGGTACTCTTGGTCTTGGATCTTAAACAACCCCAAAAAAATTGATTTTCTTTTTCATGTGGGTTTCTATTTATTTTGAAATATTTTGGTCCTAATTTTTCAATTTCTAAATTGTCCTGAAATTTGATCTCTCTGTGTGTGTAGATGTGGCCTGATCTTATAAAAAAAGCTAAGGATGGAGGGTTAGATGTTATACAAACATACGTATTTTGGAATGGGCATGAGCCATCTCCTGGGAAGGTATAAAACTAATACCAAATATCTGCTAAATGTATTGCTAGCTATGTGTGCTTTTATTCAGTTAATTTGATGAAATTTCTTGTTTTTCAGTACAATTTTGAGGGAAGGTATGATTTGGTCAAGTTCATAAAACTTATACAAGAAGCAGGTCTCTATGTTAATCTACGTATCGGCCCTTACGTTTGTGCCGAGTGGAATTTTGGGTAAACACCAAATCTCTTATCACAATATGCAGTTCATAGTAGTTTTCCGCATCTTATACGTAGACCGAAAGGGAACTAAACCTGTGGTCCATGTAAACTCTTAACTGACTAGAACCCATAATTACGACTTAAAAGTTTGAACTCACCTTTTTAGGATTTCGTCATCTAAAACGACAAAAGACATGTAATTTATGCATCCTACCCTCCCAGACCCTACCTCTGTGTGGGATAGGTGTATTCGTTTGGTTTGATTTGGTTTATATAGTATTCTGTTTCTGCTTTTATGCAAAAAAAATCAAAAATATGCTATGTTTTGGATGCAGGGGATTCCCAGTTTGGCTTAAATATGTACCTGGAATGTCTTTCAGAACAGACAATGGACCTTTTAAGGTTGGCAATCTGGAAGTGATCTTGAATATTTGAATATGGGAATGCACTTTGAATCCAAATACCCTTTTTCTAACTTTGATTCTTTGACCATCCTTATCATCATAAAGGCTGCAATGCAAAGATTTACAGAGAAAATAGTCAGCATGATGAAGTCAGAGGAACTGTATGAACCTCAAGGAGGTCCAATTATCATGTCTCAGGTTTTGACCTTTGTTTTTCTTTTTTTTAGCTCAAGTCTTTAGTTCCCTAGAATCTATCTGAATCTTGGTGTTTGTGTTTTCAGATAGAAAACGAGTATGGACCAGTTGAATGGGATATAGGTGCCCCTGGAAAAGCTTACTCTAAATGGGCGGCACAAATGGCCGACGGTCTCAAGACTGGTGTCCCGTGGATCATGTGCAAACAAGAAGATGCCCCTGATCCAATGGTAACACAATTTCTAATCCTTTCCGAGTTACACCACACCTAGCACAAAGCAAGCCCTACTAACCTTGAGGGCTAACTCAACTAGCAAATAAAAGCCAGGCATTAAGGCTCCCGGTTTGAGTCTCCATCGGGCCACTGGGGATTCTATAGGGTGTTATCTTCAGGCCCGATGGGATTAGTGGAGTGCCTGCAAACTGGCCCGAACATCTACGGTTACCGAAAAAAGCCACATACACAAGCCTCCTTGGCTGCTTCTGATTTGAGACAATTGTTTATATATCTGGTGCCATTACTCATTTACTCAATACATGTGTTCTATCTTTGCACAATGGGTGCCACTAACTTTGCACATGGTACAACCCATGAAGCAAGATGCAGCAAGGCTATGCATAATGCATATAGCCCTGCCTGTAGATAATGTCAAAAACTAAGCAAGTATCAACCTGTAATGGCTGTCTTTGGTTGCACATACGATTTAGCCTGAAGTCCCAACTCTCCCTCTCTCTAACATGTTGATTACATGACAGATCGACACATGCAATGGATTCTACTGTGAAAAATTCACTCCTAACAAGCCATACAAGCCTAAGATGTTTACAGAGCTTTGGACTGGCTGGTAAGTCATGTGAATGTTCTCTCTAACGTTCAAGTACGCTCACTTACATATGACAACTATTTCGTACAAGATTCATAACCGCTTCTATAATTTGATTGTTGTTAACTCTTGCTATTGAAGGTTCACGGAATTCGGTGGCCCGATTCCTACTAGACCGGTAGAAGATATAGCATATTCAGTTGCAAGATTCATACAGAATAATGGTTCTTTCGTCAACTATTATATGGTAAGTCACCATAGAAGATAGAACTAGGGTAGGTGGGTATATCTTGCTTGTTCACTAATCAGATTTACATGGATGGTGGATCTAGTACCACGGAGGAACAAATTTCGGCCGCACAGCAGGTGGTCTTTTCATCACAACCAGTTATGATTACGATGCTCCTATTGATGAATATGGTATGCAATCAGATTAGAATTTTAAAAATTTTAATTTATACACGTAAAATTTTGCAAATATTAGAATAAAGATAGAAAGCAAACATGGGTTTGACCTAGTAATTTTTTTGGGTGTAATGTTTCAGGATTACTAAATGAACCCAAATGGGGGCATCTAAAGAATTTACATACTGCCATAAAACTAGTTGAGCCAGCTTTAGTTTCAGCTTATCCTACTGTTACCTATCCTGGAAAGAACCAAGAGGTTAGTTTAGCTAAATGCTCAGAGATATCGCAATGTACCTTGGTTATCCCGAGCTTATATCTCCATATGTTATCCAACTATAGATACATGTATTTCAACCAAAGTCTGGGGGTTGCGCTGCATTCCTCTCAAACTATGATCCGCAATCTTCAGCAAAAATGACCTTTGGAAATGCACAATATGACCTCCCTCCTTGGTCCATTAGCATTCTCCACGACTGCAACGACGAAGTTTTCAACACTGCAAAGGTAAGAAAATATGATTCTACCCTGTTTTGGTCCAAATTTTTTCCACTTCAGCACTATCCACCTGCCTATTCCAAGCAAAACTTGTAGCTGTTAATTGCATCAATGAAAAATATTGGTTCCACCTAATTTGCAGGTTAATGCTCCTAGCACACAAAAAAAGATGACCCCTGTTGGATCCTTCGATTGGCAATCATACAATGAAGAAGCTCCATCTTCTGATGGAAGTGATACTCTTTCAATGGCAGGGTTGTATGAACAACTGAATGTTACTAGAGATGCCTCCGACTACTTGTGGTACCTTGCAGAGTGAGTATTAAGGCCGATGTCTCACCAGTTATTTCTCAGTATCAATCTGATAGCTATAAAAGCAAATATGATCACACAAATATTAAATGTTTCTGTATTTGATTTTCCAGAGTGAACATATCACCCAATGAAGAGTTTTTGAAGAATGGACAGTTCCCTGTGCTCACGGTTATGTCCGCAGGGCATGCTTTGCATGTCTTCATCAACAATCAACTGTCAGGTAAATCTCATTTTTCACGAGCATTAAACACAGACGACACACACTTGACTCTTGTTTGTTTGGTCTTATTATAGGAACTGTCTGGGGATCGCTGAAATATCCCAAATTAACGTTCAGTAACAGTGTAAAGTTGAGAGCGGGTGTCAACAAGATCTCTTTGCTGAGTGTTTCTGTGGGCCTCGCGGTTAGTTCTTACACTGGGTGATTCGTTTTAAGAACCTTTCTTATCTGTCAAAACATAAGAAACATTTTATCATGGAATAACTATACAAAGCCCTCCATTTATGCGAGGGGAAGTTAATCTTGCATACAAGACTCGGTAACTATTGTATTTAATCACTTTCAGAATGTTGGCACACACTTTGAAACCTACAACGTGGGGATTCTAGGTCCAATCACCTTGAAGGGTCTAAATGAGGGTGCACGAGACTTGACAAAGCAACGATGGTCTTATAAGGTTGGTTCATTATCTTTTATGTCCATATGAATACATATATTTCGTATTATTTTGCTCAAATAGTTATAAGGTGTTGTAGTTGATGTAATAATTTGGAAAATTCTTTTGTTGTCAGTTCCCTTATGGTAGAACCCAAAAGCCAGATTCCTATACTTAGTTTCTTCTTTATTCATGGCAGGTTGGTTTAAAAGGTGAAACTATGAGTCTCCATACTCTTGATGGAAGTTCATCTGTAGAGTGGCTACAAGGATCCTTAGTGGCTCAAAGTCAGCCTCTTACTTGGTACAAGGTAATTTTGCTATTCAACATGTTTGGAGTTGCAAATATCCATAACATTAACATATTCTAACTTGGGTTTACTCTTAGACTACCTTCAACGCTCCAGCTGGAAACGAACCACTAGCTTTAGATATGAATGGCATGGGAAAAGGTCAAATATGGATTAATGGAGAGGGCCTCGGGAGACACTGGCCTGGAAACAAAGCACGTGGTAACTGTGATAAATGCAGTTACACTGGGATATATAACGAGAACAAATGCAATCGCTATTGTGGAGACCCATCTCAAAGATGGTGAGACGTTAGCTGGTTTCCTTTCTCTATCTTATCATTATTCCTTCCATTATATTATTCTGCTAGCATTACCTTCTTCCATTTTCAAAATGTCTTCAAAATTCTAAAGGCTCCTATTGCTTCAGGTATCATGTTCCTCGCTCATGGTTGAGACCGAGCGGTAACTTCTTGGTTATTTTTGAGGAATGGGGAGGCAACCCAGATTGGATCACTTTGGTCAAAAGAACAACTTAACAAACTAGCAGCTAAAGTATAACACCTTAGAGAATAAACAATTCTCTGCAGTCAAGTCATCTTCGCAGATGACAACTGCTCAAACCTTTGGTGAAGTTCATACGTTTGGTACATACACGTAAAAAGATGAAAGAAGAAAATAATGCTATGGTTACTATGTGCAGTGGAATTGTAAAGGCATATCACTAGGCACTCGGCCAGTTACAGAACAGTCTAGTTGTATTTGTTTGTATGCACACAGGAAGTATTGTATTGTAAGAAGTTTATTTTGTATATCACAAGATTCAACAGTCTATTCTATTGTCTACATACTGCATCGAAACTTGTTTTTTACTTCCGTATAGCCAGAACCGTCTCCCTTTTTACGGAGGGACTTTTAGTGATAATATAAAAAGCAAGTTCAAACCAAAATGCCAAGGTATATCATACATAGAAGCAAAGAAAAAGTACTAAAGGGTTCAAACCTCATCAAAGGTGAGGAGTGTGTGTGCAATTTGTCGTATATACATATTATATAATTCAAAAAAACATTATAATATCCAACAAAACTGCTTGCCTACTCATAAATAATGTTTCTTCATGAAGAAGAATAAGGTAACTTACTAGCAATCACATTAATAGCATCATCGAGGTCTTTGTGACCATGAAAAATATCTTTTCCTTGATGTCTCCACCGTAAGATTCTTCTGTGTAGATCCTTAACCCAGACACCATTGTTTTGATCAATTTCAAACTGAAGCAGCCTCTTGACACACTTAAGCAGATATTTAACAACCTTTAGTTTGATCTGGCAAATAAAACCTACTGCAATCTCTCGAGTCCCGGATACCGAATCTGACATATTTTCTGCAATATCAGTTAAAAGGAAAACAACACAAGCACCTGCAACTGCCTCCTTTCTGCTGCATTTATCAATACATGTGATGCGGTTTTCTTGCCGGTCACAGTTCCATCTTCTATGCTTTAGTCGTACATGTTGAGTTTCCGTTGACTGTAGTATTGTACCAGTTGCAGCATAATGAAGAAGCAATTCACATCCATCTTCATTTATGGAACCAGAACACCCAAGCAAGATGCCTAGTGTAATCCTCCTAAACATCACATTATTCGGTATATCAATCTTTTGTGCTTCATATGGTTTAGGACTTCCAGTTGATTTACCATAGTAGCATATGTATACATCTTGAAACTCCTCAAGCCAAAGCTCAATTGTTTGGCACGTATACTGCTGAGAAGCATCCTTCGTCTTGTCATTAGGCTTGGCTTTCTTGAGTTTTATCTCACAGGCACCTCTTGTTTTTTCATGTTCATATGAACTCAAATGCTTGCCAATTAAGATCCTTGATAATTTTTCCAACTTCTCAGCCAATAGACTGTGAAGTGATTCACCAACGGGGTCTAGAATCCATGCAATGTACCAAGCTGCAGCAGCTGAAAAAGATGATGCCTGCAGTTGATTATCCTCATCTGTTCTAGACATATAACTGTCACTGAAATTATTTTCAGACAGCAATAATAAAGACGCAAAATAAAACCAATCTGGGAAGTTCATTGCCATGGCCCTGTTCAATAAAAAAGTTAAAAGGTAAGCCTGAATTAGTGTAATTAATAAAGTCGTAGTTTATAAAATTTTCAGCATGAGATGAGGAGTACCATGTAGATTTGTGATCCACCATTGGCGTGGTTGTTGCAACATGTTCAAGTGTTGCCTGGCAACTTCTCGAAATAGACTTTTTTATTTTAAGAATCAACTCAAGAAAACCACCACATGATAAAGGTCCAGCCAAAGTTCTGAATAATCGGTGCTTGAAGAGAAAGTATGCATGTGAAAATGGCAGCTTTGATCCTACTCCTGCAGATAAACCCCACCACATTGGTCTTGAAAGAAGATCTAGTACCATTGAAACCAGTTCAACTTGAAGCTCTAATACAGAAGCTAGTCCCCTGTTATCAATAATCAACCCTAAGAAGTAAGTTACAAAATAAATCAGATATAAAGTTTAATGGGAATATAGCTGCTTATAATTGTAATAGAACTCGCAACATAGATGCAACATGTTGGCACAGACAACCAGAAATGTCCTGATAGAAACCTACGGCCGTTCTGAACTATGGTCCCATTCAATTCCATTCTACCCAACTTCTTTAATTGAGAGGGGCCGTAATGTAAATGTTGGTTAACTAGCATTCTGTTAGGGTCTCCATGCGTTAGGTTTTTCTTTCTTTCCTTATTCCTCTATCCACCATTGATACTCTATTTATACAGGGGTTTCTCCTAAAATAAGTTCTCTCTTGACCATAAACACTTGTATCAATTATGATATAGCAAGAATATAACCATATTCAAATGACAGCATCAAGTTTAAAACAAATTTGGGACACACAGACTCATATAGAAAGTTATATTTCAAATATGAAATCATTTGACCAATTCTTAAGATATAACATGCAGAAGTCATTCAAGGCATGACCCACAACTTTAGCTGTACATTCACCCAAAATATCAAGTAACACAAGAACTAAAACTAAGTTAAGACCAGGTACTTACGTCAGAAGAAACCAGCTATGCAGTAAAGCCCTGGTTTCAATAAACATCAGTGGAGAAAGTGCCAAACAAATAATTATAGATCGCCATTCCATCTTCTCATAGAGTTCTTCACTCAGGCAAATAAAGGGTCTCTGAACAGCATCCTGCAACACTTGTGATACATCTTCCACAAGAATTTGAGGATCAAGGTACCATAATAGCAACCTGCAAAACAATTCCAAATGGATGTGCAAACAGGAAACTGTCAATTAGAGTCTGCAAGCGATATGATGCTGAATAATGCAGAACTCTTCAATCTCTGCTTATCATTGACTGAGACAGTGTCAACAGCAAAATTCAACAGGAACAGTTTTGTGTTTTAACAATTTTTCAATCAAGGTACAGCAGGATACATGGGGAATCAAGTTTACTAACATAAGTGTGATTTTGGTGTAAATATATAAAGCATAATAATGCACATTCAAATAAAAAAAATTACTTGAAGCACAAAGTAAACTAACATCTACCACTGCCATAGTAATGCACACCTCAGTTGTAATTCCTGGTTCTCAAGGGAGATTCTTTTTGGAATATAATGCACCAATTTTGATATTGCACATCTCCTTCGATCAGTTGATTGAACAAAGAGAGCTGGCGTAACTTGCATTGTGTATCGGAATTGTGTCGCCATCGCAGCTACTCTGACAGCAGCATATAGTAATGAACAAGAAAGCATTCCTTCAACAGTTCATAATATCCCAGTCAGCTTTAGCATTGACAATCAGCCAAATTACACAAAAAGTTAATTGCATAACATCTAGTTCTTGAAACTCAATAAAATTTGTATTCACAATTAACTATCGTAATATACTCTTGAGTAGCTTAGAACACAATACTTTTTCTGGTCCTTCATTACCATACTCGATCCTTCTCCATATAGTTTATAGTGGATGACTTTTACGAATAGTAATAGTTTCCAAATCTTTGATATAAATCAAAGATTTTGTAACTTATGGTATGATCCGGGAGATTATTAGAAAAAGCAGTGTTCCCCTCCATTAAAAAATAGAAGGTGAGCCGGTTTGACTAGTTAACTCGTCAGACATGGTATTTTTGCTAGTCAAACTGGCCTGGAATCTAACTTTATCTGATAATAACATTAACATAAAAAACATTAGAAGGCTAATGGATCTAGTACTAAGTACTACAACATGAAAGACGCTTGGTGATTAATTAGTAACAAACTCCATACCAGCTTTATATTTGGTGGTATTGTGTTCGTAATCAACTAGTCCAACATCTTTTCATGGGAACAGTAGTAGGAAATTAAGAATATCATACAGCTATACAGTCCACTGCAACCCTTTTTTCTACTGACATATAGGAATGTGTAACTTTATTTTTGAACTATATAGACAATCAAAAATCACCTTTATAGACCCACCATGTTCTTTTAATTTCCCCAGAACATCAGCACAAGATTCCATCACTCCCACGCTGTCATGAGCTGAAATTGAGCCACCAATTCGCAAAACCTCTGCATTACCAAACCTTAAGACCTTACAATCTACTGATGAAGATAAAACCGATACAATTGTATTCACCGAATAATCAGTTACCGAGTCAAGCACCTAAACAATCACGAAACAATATGACATAAACCACAAGTATTAAAAAAGAAACGCCAATAGAAAAACTAATAATTTCAAACTTTACTTACCTGAGGCGCTGTGAAGCACATCAACGACAATGCAGTGTCCAAAACCCTAACCCTAGATGATTCTCTCAAGTTGAGTGATTGATTCAGAGCTGCCACTAGAACATCATCCGGTTGATCGGAATTGCTGGTTTCACTATTTTCTATTTCAATTTGCGACGCGAGTCTCGCAAATAGACCAATAAGTTCCGGCAAATTGGACATCGGCGGCAGCACAAGTGATTACAACGACCAGCACCGACAAAGAATACTGGTCATTTGGCGCCAAAATCGAAGCTTTTGCATATTAAATCGTATTTGGACCTTGAGACGGTTGGCCCAAGGCCCAAGGCCCACCTTATAATCTCATATTCTCATGCAATTTTTAGGCCCAAATTTTATAAACCAATTTTCATATATTTTTGTATATATTTGTCACATTTCAGGCTAATTGTAATATGTATTAGATATTGTCTGAACTCTGATCTGTCTACACTTGGACTTATGGTTTTAAAACTGTCTGATAGATGATGTATTCAGTCTCTTATAAGGCAATTTTCGTTTCTCATACCAGATATTGTCCTTTTTGTTCATACCTAGACTCACGGTTTCAAAACGCGTCTGATAGAGAATGTATCCAGTCTTTTACAAGACAATATGAGATCTTAGAATCCACCCCCATTGGGAACCCAACGTCCTTGCACACTAGTCTGGTTCCTGACTCTGATACCATTTGTAACATTTCAAGCCAACCATACCAAACATGTCATTTTTGTCCACACAAATGGACTCGCGATTTTAAAACACGTTTGATAGATGAGATGTTTAGTCCCTTAAAAGACAACTTTTGTTCTCCTCTCCAACCAATGTGGGATCCGACATGTGAAAATATGGTGGGTGTGTGTATACAGTGTTGTTTCATGTATGAAACGTTGATGACTGTTTCTTCCACACACAAAACAGTCACGACCATTTCACATATGAAACAACACGCTATAAACACTGTATTTTCATTCGTGTTGTTTTATATGTGAAATAACACATAAAAACTGAGTTTTATATTATTATTTGATCTGTAAATCATTATGTGTCTACTTTTAAAGGGCTCAATAATATTTTAAAATCTAGTTTTTTTTTTCAACAACTCTTTACCTGTTTTTTAGATTGCATTTGAATAATGAAAATCAAAATCGGGGCTGTAACGCATCTTAATGTTGTCTTATATATGATCCATTTAGAAAATCAGATGCAAAAAATGCACCCATTATTGAATTCTGTATAAGTTGGATTTGGATTATCTGACTTATCATCCATCTAATCATCCAGCCATTATACATACATTCTTGATCTACCAAACGACCATTTGTACAGACATACACAGAGGATAAATTGCATTAAAATTGAAGTAACGTTGTTCTGATTTCTATTTCAAGAAACGTAATTTTACAAGATTTATTTTACCGTCTAAAAATTCCAAAAAAAGGCTTTTTCGTCTGCAAAGTTTTAATATCTTTCTTTTTTCGTTCACAGTCATAATATGTCCCACTAATTGCATAGAATACATGGTACGTTCCTTAAAATGAAGCTTCTGACATTGTGTTTTCTCAAAGTCGAATCTGAAACAGAATACATTTCATATCGGTACGAATGTCTTTAAAAACACCAGCAAAATCTTGAAAGACATATTTTCTTGTCAAATTCAAGGACCATGACCAGTGCCACAGCACATTCGGGTCAACACATATCTTTCTACAACTACATATACCTTTAAGTACAACTGATGTCGTTATGATAGCCTTCCACATGTAAAACGAGATACAGTTTTCTATAAATATCTGCTATCATAACCTTGTGCAGTTAGTTCAACCGTCAATAAAATTTGGGTTTTCGGGATTCTCCTTAGAGATTACGGTTCAAGCCCTGCAAGACCACTGTGAATTTTCTTACCTGTTCTCCAAGATTCTTGGAATCAGTCAAGATACGCATAAACTGACCCGTATGATATAATTAATGGGTGTGATATGCAAGTAAAATAAAGGGTTATGGTCATAAAATAAATTAAATGAAAGTTACTAAATATAGAAATGTGTGTTATTTTTGGATCATAACAAGGGTTCTATGGGGAAATTAAGGACCATTCATAGTGGTGGACCATCTTTTATTGGATTCACATGTGGGAGGTTGGTGAGACTTGAGAGGCATCATCATCTTATTATTGACCTCCTGACATCATCAAAAGCATAAGTCATTTATGGTTTTGGTAAAATTTAACACTATCATTTACTTATAAATAAGATTTTAGTTTATCAAAACGGCATTGTATGCAACAATTTGTCCTGTAAGCGCTTATTATGGTAAGAGTCGTTGTCGTCGCTTACCGAGTAAAGACTATTGGTTTTTGTCTCGCTCTTATCGGGTAAGATTCTTGGTCCCTACCATATTCATTTGGTAAGGCAATGTGCGTTTACCCGAATAAGCGTTTGGTAAACGGTCTCTTAAAGATTTAAAGTTAAATTTCGTTAAATATTTGATTAACTCTTGTTGTAAAATCGTGTTAACTTTTCGTAAAAGGGTTTTGATCAGTTAAATTTGTGCAAAATGGGTTGAAGCAACAGTTCTTGAACTGACTTAATAGTATCATTTGAGAGGCAAAACATATAACGACTTGTTAGCTGGTTGGATGTCTTGCCTTAAAAGTCTGGTGTCTAAAAAAAGCCCAATTCCTAAAAGAACTGTAAATGCAATAATATGACTGATATATCTGAACTATCACATGTTTGTGCAATTATATCACCTTGTAGCCAACTGTCATATGTTATGGGATTTGATTTGTTATGGGCCGTTTACAAAACACTTATCGATAGGTGCTTATCGGTAAAATTTAACACTATTATTTATTTACTGTGTAATATTTTTAGTCCACTAAAACGACATCGTATGCAACAATTTACCCGGTAAGCGCTTACCATGGTAGCCCTCACTTATCAGGTAAGATTTTTGGTCTTTGTCTCGCTCTTACCGGGTAAGATTATTAGCCCTTACCATATTCATCTGGTGATGTAGTGTGACTTAGTAAGCGCTTACCCGGGTAAGTGTTTAGTAAACAGCCCCTTAGATTTATATAACGATGCTAAAAATCAAATCCTAGTTATATGAAGAATAAAAAAAAATACCAGTAATTAAATATATGTTAAATGCGAAAGAGAATAATCATGTCCATGTTTATATTTTAGTTTGTCTCGAAATAAGTGTCAACTTTAAAAAAGTAAGTGTGTACTTTTTTATTCTATCCTTAATTATGAGATGAATAAATTTATTACTGCATCTATTATTAAGGATAAAACTGTCGTTTAATTCACCAAGAATACAGTAATTACACTTTTTAGAAACTGTATATTTTTTTTACATTGTGAACACTTATTTCGAGACAGAGACAATTTGTATTTGTTTTTTATTGGTCAAATAATGATCGTTTTAATAAGGTATTTTAAATATTCATATCCATTTTTTTTGGAAAAAAGGAATAATTGATAAATGTGGAAATTAAATTAAAATTAAGGGTTGTTTGTTTACCTCTTAATAGTTTCATTAATAGGCAGTGTCTGAATCGTTAAGAGGTGAATCTTGTTTGACAAAAAAAAGTCTACCTCTTAATGGTTCTAAAACACTCTGAATGATTTTGTATCATGTACCTCCCTTAACCATTCAACACCTTAATTTCATTGTAAACAATTACCAAACAATTATATTTCATTTTCACTATATCATGAGAGCCTTCGGGGCTGTTTGTTTTTAAAAAAAAAATCACTTAATACCTCTTATGTCTGAATCGGTCAGACCTTGAGGTATTAAGTGCGTTTGTTTTTTCTTTCAATTAAGAGCTGAATTTGTCTCATTTTGTCTGAATCGGTTAGATGTAAATTAAACTCTGAAAACCTCTTATTTTGATTTCCCCTACCTCGTCGCTCTTACCTCTCCATCGCCGCCCCGGTGCACTCTCAAGCCCTYGATTTCTCTTGCTCTTGATCGATCTCTCTCACGCAATCAATCTCACAGACCTAAGAGGGCCGAAGTCTTGGATCTGCACAAGCACAACCAGAGGAGAAGYTGCCGCCATTAGAGGTATACTCCATTGTAGTTTTCGTTTTCTTCACGCTCCATGAATCAAATCGATCTGTTACTACATCCACCGTTTTTAATCTCTGCTTTGCGACCAAAAGGAAGTTCATATAAACCCTAAAATTGGATGATTTTAAGATGACGATCGATTCCTCTTTTCAGAGAATCTCAATGCTCGATTAATACTTGTGCAGTTTACGTTTATCA